GTTTCCGAAAATTTTAATTAGTGTATTTCCGCTTTTTTCTTCTCTCACACGTGTTCGGAATTCATGTCGGCTGATCAGGAACAATCAAATTTTGTGCACTCCGATTGGCCATTTCCTTTCTAGGGTTTGTATTACCCGCGCAAATAAGTGCGTGCCATCAACGTTCACTCCTGTTGGACGCTAGATCAAAAGGAACGACCGTTCAAATTCGTAGATGATATGGTTACACGATTGATAAATAATTTTTTTTTTTACATTTTACAATAAAAGCTCGGGTAACTTAATTTTCTATGAATGAGAATAAATTTAACGGATGAATTGATATTTTTGCTTCGCCCTATAACATATTTTTTGAATCACTGTGAATCCCACAACTTTTTATGCAATCTGATTGGCCGATTTGCTAAAATTCAAGCTACGATTGGTTGACAACCAAGTGTAATTATATTGAAATCATCTACGAATTCGAACGGTCGTTCCTGTTCGCTAGATCAGACCATAAAATGGGGTCTTTACTTTGAAAATCACCTTACGACATTTTCCGATCGGGCTAATTCGGACAAACCAGACCCAATATCCGGAAGGACTTACATTTTCAGGGCGCATACTAAAGATCTTAGCAAAATTTTGTCTGTCTGTCTGTCTGTCCGACCACATGATCTACATTATAAATGATTGCCATATCAATATTCATCGCTCCGGATTTACAACAGTTTTTGTTTTCCTAGTATTTTTAAGTGGATTTGGAATTTCCCATTTAAATTAGGGTTAGGGTTAGGGTGTACATACGATAAAATCAACCCCAAAATGCTGGTTTATACAGGGATTGAACCCGGGTAGAAGTTGTTACTATACGATTACCCGAAATATATAACTTATCCGGATAACCCTAATACCCGGATAGAAATTCTCAACGGGTTCAATCTCTAGTTTTAAAGCTCCGTTTGAATCACATTTTGATTCAATAGTTTTTCAATAAACAATTGAATCAATAAAGGTCAAAATGTGATTCACATATAAAAACAAACCGATATTTGGGCCTGGTTTGTCCGAATTATTCCGATCGGAGGCAGACCCTAAATGTTAATTTACAGCTGTTCTCATAAATTCGGGACAACGATAAAAATTGTTCGGCCGATCTGCGTTATCTGGAATTACTATAATGCCGAAAATCCAATGCCGATAATATCGAATTCAAAAACTTATCGAATACGGCCAAATAATTTTTTATCAGTTGTCCCAGAATTTATGAGAACAGCTGTAAATACTGTACTGATCCGAAATTAAGCGCATGTAGTGCTGGCCAAAATTGGTACAATGCGGGCCAAATTCCGTATAGTGCGGGCCAGGGTGCTTATTTCGGGGTACCCAAATATATATATTGGTTTTTTTTTAATAAAAAAAAAACCCCCAGTTATTAAGTATATTTATGTATAAAATTTTAAGATTTAACATTTGATCTGGCCAAATATGAAAACAAATAAGTTTGTATAGCCTTATTTTTATTTTGTATGGAATTTCTTTTTAAAAATACTGTAAAAAAAATAATAATTATAGACCCTTGTTAATTAAAAAGAAATCATTTTACGTAGAAGTTTATTATACCACCCGCGCAATCCACATGTTTATTACTTTGCAATTTACACAATTGGGTTTCGATTTCCATATTAGGTTTTTTATTTTTTCCATAGCGATACCCGACTCAATTTGTACGTCTTTTGCTATATTATCCACTTCTAATTACAATATTAACCTCATGTAAATTACATCATTAAACGTACAATCGTATTAAATCTAATTGTATTAAATCTAATATTTCGAAAGAATACATTTTCTGACTGATTTCCTATAATTTCTTGACTGTATTGCGATTATGGGATTTGACTGTACTGAAATCTTTTTCCTATTTAAAGATTGAACTTTCAACGATTTTATCGTGGCTGTGCGATTAAGATTTCGATTCTCTTAGCGTTAGAGAAATCTCTCGATTACTATAAATTGATCTAGCTCCCTTTTTAACATTTTTATCTCTTTACTATTAAAAAAAAATTAATTTCGTGTTACATTATAAAAATTATTCACAAGAATAAATATATGATGCAATATTTTACTCGTTTTACGATATTATGTATGGTATGGTTAACTGCGTTGAATACTTTTGATATTCTTGTTAATGCGTATAAACGAATATCTCTAGAAAGAAAAATTGGAACTATTACAGGTACTTGATTTCATTGCTTATAGTGCGTATACTCTCGTGTTACATTAAACGAATTTTTGATTTGCGTCATGCTAGATCAACCCGCTACTGTTATACCCACAAATCTTACCATACCATATGGAAACTATTTTCAATTTTTACTATATGGTGCCGGTGTTCAACAATACCAATGCATTAATAATGGTAGTTCAATTCCCCAATGGTCACTAGGTAATATAATATTGGCATTTTATTGTTGAATATATGGGTTTTTGTTTTGTATTAACGTCCTCATTTAACTTTAAAGTTGGTCCGGACGCTTATTTAATTAATGATATCAAAAAAGAATCTTTTAATCCTAAATATGAAGTTGCCTATCATAATTTTCAACCAACGCGTAAGCTTGCATTTACCTTGAAAATAAATCTTTTTTATATCCTGTTCCTAATTTGTAAATATTATTAGCCGTAAATGGTGGCAGAATTACTTGGAAATCTATTATTTTGGAAGATACCTCTTTAGTTATTACGAAAGTAACCAATTCATCAGCTTCTCCCGATGGCCCGGCAAATATCCCATGGCTTCAAACTCAAACAACCGTTAGTATTTTATTTCTTATTTAATTTATCTTCAAAGCTTATTAAGTCTATTTATGAAATAGTCCACTCAAGGAAATGGAAGCTTTTCGAATATTACTTTTGTTCTTCGAATTAATACCAAAGGTGGAGTTGCTCCTTCAGAGGATAAATGTAAGTAATTAATTTTTTTTTTTGTTGTTGTTGTTGTTGTTTGATAATTCATTTAAATATGAGTGCGGTCAAGGGAAAATCTGTAATCGGGCTTTCAATTATATTTTGTTTCAAGTCTGTTATCTGTAGAGATGGGCAAAAGTAATACGTATTCTTACCTAATATTAATATTATTTGATTTTTTTGCAAATAGGTAATAATAAATAATTTTACGATAATTCTATTTTTAGTATCAAATTTATTCTTAATCTCAGTTTTGATCGCTCACTTCCGACCATTATCAAATGATTAAATTTACACGTAATATGTAATGGAATGTAATAAATACTTAATACTACTTAATATTAATTAAGGGATAAGTAATAAGTCATTATTACTTACAAAATTACTTTAATCTATCATCGGATTTTCGATTATATTTGTAATAAATTGTCACAAAATATAATTGAAAGTCCGATGATAGATTTTTTCATAGACAGCACTCAGATAACAGACTGGACACAAAATATAATTGAAAGCTGATTGCAGGTTTTCCCTTGACTTCACTCATATGTTTTAATCCGTTAAAATTCGCATAAACAGGCGAAACAACTTATCAAAACGGTCAAATAGTCGCTGTTAATTATACTACCGAATATTGGTACTTCTCTTTCTGTAAACGATAAACATAAAATAGAATGAAAAAGATGAAAAAGGTGAAAAAGATGACTAACCATCTGATAATTTATATCCACCTTTAAATTTATTAGTAATTTTTAAATTGTTATACTTTTCTTTTAAAACAAAAGGTTTTTCCTTTTTAACTTTAAATATATATATATATTTTTAATTGATTAATATATATTTAGAAATTATAAACTCTTACTAAACATAAAAATTGTAATTTTTTAATTTAAATATTTTAAATAATTTAGATAATAAACAATTAAAGTTATTTATTTATTTATTTAATTTTAAGAATAACATGGTTAACTCGACTGTTCATTTAATTAACTAAATTCATATCTACGTATATATAAAATGAAATTTGCGATTCACTTTTAAATAATGATGTTAACAATCTTTCCTGGTCCTGTCTGATCCATTTTGGTTCATTTTCTGGTCTACGGTCTTAAGACTTTGCTTAATCCAGACTAGCTTTGCGGACCGTTCCTATGGTCATTAGTTTAAAATAAGACGACCATATAACATCTCTAATGAATGTAGTTGATTTGGTGTTCAATAAAATCGACTTCGGGTGTTCTTAAGCACCTTGCTCAATGAATCGGAGGCAAAATTTTAAATATATGGGGCGTCAAAAGTAGAAACCAAGGAATTTGACCATTTTTTGAAAATTAATCTGTTTGATTGATCAGGTGTAAAATTTAAAGCCCAGTCTTTTTTGCTTAATAATGAAAGTCTGATCATCATTTAATAAATTTTTGCGATATATTGGTTAAAAGCTTTTGACGCCATAATCTAAAAATAGATTTACCGGCGCAAATGTTAGTATGATAGTGATCTACAGATCTAATAATCCTGTTTAAACAGGTTTGTTAATATTGAATAAACTATT